ACCGTTCATTATGCCATGGTTATGCAATTTTACCCATGGTCGTACCATGGTGATACCATTGTGAGACCCCATGTTCAGACCACTCCTCAAGGCGCTTGGCCGCCGTCAGATGTGCAACTTTTTGTTGCCCATGTTGGCCTGGCAGCCTGCAAAGCGACAGTCCGCTGCGGAGGTGCGGACGGTGCAATGGTGGGGGACGGTGGTGATGAGGTGGTGAATGTGGTGGTCGATTGATGGGTCTATTTGCGGGAATGTTTCGGTTGATCGTTTGCTTGTGGTTAATGCAGCCTTTTGCTTGTGGTTTCTCTATGAAGTTGTTTATGGTTTATTGATTGTTTATTGATGGTTTGTTTATGGTGAATGAAGTGGTTTGATTATGTGTCATTTATGGATAATGACGTGGTGACTCAACTTGTTTTTGTTTTGTTTTTAATTCTTTTCTCTGAGGTGACCATGGTTGAACACCTGTGGACCGCTTCTGGGGACGATCGAAGCACCAAGTATGACTTGGATAGTAGTTGGGTACCAGGGTGCTATGGATCATGACCAAGTGTTTCACGACCTAATTGTGTGGACGTCGTTTGGGGCTATATTTCGTGGTTCATCTCGGACCTGCGCAGGGCCATGCAGTGGCTTTTCTTGGAGGTTTTGACTTTGGAAAGCTTGACTGCTTCACTTAAGATTTGGCTGGACGTTGAAGCTCAACTGGAGAAGCTGAAGTACATTGTAGAGAGTTTGAACTCGCAGTGCCTCGGCCTTTTTTTGGGCATTTGGGCAGGGTTGACTTGTATAAGAAGAGATCGTCTCCCAGTGTCCAATGAGTTTGCCAAAGATGCAACTTCCCAATTGCAAAGTCTTTGCGCCTGTGAATTCACCTTGGAATTAAAGAGGTGGCTCAATAGTTTCTGGCTCTTTCAGAAGGAGAAAGCAGGCGGCCGCCACTTGCACCCATGAAATCTCCAAGCTCATGGCGCCAGGGAGCGCAGTAGCGAGCTGCATAGACGGAACCTTTGCAGACTCCTGCCTGTGCATGGTTGGAACTTAGTTTGTTGTATGGCTGCCCTGCACTGTTGGCCCAAGCGTTTGTCGCTGTAACAACTGGCCCGCTGGAATCTTGAGCTACTCTGAAGAAAACAGACCAGACCCCTCAACATTCCCTAGTGAAAACATGTATATATGGTAATCCTTTGCATATTAGTGTCCCATGCCCCGTTGCAGAGGATGTCTTGTTCTGAAGCACTATCGTATCACTGTGGGAGCTTCGAACCGATGGATGGGGATCATGCAGAAGGAAGTCGACCAAGTGAGGACTGGCGGGTGCTCGCCAACATGCCGATAGCAGATTTTAACTACTCTTGCCTCTTGCTGTTTCACCCTAAATGGGAGTTGAATAAATCTGCATGACCTCGTCATGTGTGCTTGCGGACTGCAAGCACATGCCCAAGTGAGGAATGACGAGCATTCTCCATCAGTGATGTGTTTCTATGGGTAGTCACTTTAGTGAGGGGAGTTCGGCCTTGTTCGATCGTCAATCTTGTCGGGCACAAGCCTGGCCTGCAAGGATGCGGTTGACATTGCACCGAACGTGCCTTCCAATTGTGGCGGGACTTGCAATCCTTGCATTTATTGGGCCTCAGCTCGTGGCTGCACAAACGGGGGGTGTAACTGATCGGCATTGTCCCGGGTTTCCCGATTTCCTTGCAAAGGGGGACGGTTCGCAAGATTATTCTGAGTGATTCTAGCGATTTTTTGTCGATGTTTTACTCAAACAGAAAAATGATTTAGCCCAGGTGATTTCTGCCATCTCCATCATCGAAAGCCGGAGGGCAATGAACGCCCCAGGAGGGCGAAGCGAGACGCCATCAAGCAGCAGATCTTCGAGTACTTTCTAATCCAGGATGAACGTGAGAGGCACAACGGAAGAAGTATGAACATGTATGAGCATGATTCTTTACAAAGATTCTTTCGGCCAACGGTGGGCTTGCCACTTGCAATGCCAGTCGTTCCAAGTCCACGTCAGGCACAGGCTCTTGCAGGAGGAGGCTGCAAAACATCCCTTCGCTCGCAACTTTGTCAAAGGGCTCTTGGACAACCCGGCTTTTAATGTCCGAATAGTGGGTCAAGATTTTGTTGTGTCCTTGTAGGTCGCCTGTTTAGTCGAGTTCTCCGAACTCGCCCGACCGACGGACGAGCTTGGTTTTGTTCCGATTCCCACAGTCCCAGAGAACTGGTCTGAGGAGCTGTTGGGTTTGCATGCCAGACCAGTGATTGATTTCAAGTAAACACGCAATAGGGGCCTTCAGCCTCCACTCCCTCGAGCGAGTGAGCAGTTTTCTTAATCACCCGTGTACAGTATATGGATGTCTGGTCCAGTGCTTCACTTACTGGCGGCTAGCGTTCACTACTGCCCACCAGCCTGCCGATGTGAGAAGAAGGACCGATCTTTTGAAACTTACTCTGAGGAAGCCAAGGCTGTGCATATTAACCGGGAAACCCCTGCTTTTTTTTTCAGTTCTAATTTGTGCCCAGTTTTGCTTACATACGTACGTAATCGTGCGTACATATAGTGCTGATTGGAACAAAATTTTATCTTGTTCTGGTTGTTGTTGTTGTTGTGGTGGTGGTGGTGGTGGTGGTGGTGTTTTCTTAAAACAAGGTCCTTAGGAATAACCCTAGAGTGCATCTAGGTTCCCAATACATCACCTTTGCAACATGAAGCATACTGCGCCCAGCAGTATGACAGGTCGTTACATGTTTTACATGCCTCTCTGTCATCTCTTTACTCAGTTTGAGCGCATTCTCCATTGTGAGCTTCAGTCGTTCCTGGAATTGGAGTGCCATGTACTTGCGCATACTGTGCGATTGAAAGGATACAGCTAGGTGTGGTGATCAGGCCACTCCATGTGGTGTTGATTGAGGCTTGTTGAACGACCTATATTGAAGCCGTAGTACTGGATCTCCAGAAGTGAGCAGAGAAGCAATGAAGGAGTAAGTAAGACGGAGGGAGAGTGAGAAGAAACCCAGGGAAAGAGATGCACATAAAGCTGCAAGATGTCTTTCTGCCCTTTTGCTGTGGCAGGATGATAACACACACACACATAGACACCCTTAGCCAGCTCCCTTGAAGTCCTGCACACCGATGATAATGGACACGCAACAGTATATAAATCACCAAGGTGCCAGGAGATGACATGCTTTATCGATGCAAAAACTCTAAGTTGATGCCAAGTTGACTCCATCTTGAAAGAAAGTGTAAGGGATAGCACGCGACCAGTAGAACTTGCGGCATTTCGCGAAGCCAAGAGGCAGAGATTTGCTAAGAGCCTTTCTCCTAAAGTGGTCCCATTGCTAGTTGCATCTACTTAGTTGCTAAGGCTTGAGGTGTTTCATCTTTAGCCAACATTTGCTTGAATGCAATCGGAATGATGCCCCGCAAAATGATGGAGAAGCATGTGCTGCACGGCTGTCGATCATCAGCTCATGGATGCTCCCGTCGGCCCATGTTTTGTTGATGTTCGCAGATGTTTTCTCATTTTTTCTTCTCTTTCTCTCTCTCTCTCTCTCTTTTTCTCTTTTCAGCACTACAGCTTCCGAGTTGCTAGCGGTGGCCTCCAACCGAATAGCAATGGAGGAAGGTCATTGATGCTCAAAGGATGCTCAAGGTCTCGGACCGTAGAGCCAACACAGCGAGATGAGCATGGCAGATATGACAGAGAGAGAGGGGGGGAGAACGAACGCCCGAACAGGCCTGGGGCCGAACCTGCTTGGGATTGCTTAGGCAAGAGGCGACACCAGTCGCCATCTGGTTGCCTGACACAATTCGAGCACACCGCACACCTCCAATGGACACGAATGAATGAACAACAGTTTTATGCATGCTTAATTTTAAGCCTTTTGACTGGAATCAGTTGACATCAATTTTCATGTTGAACAATGACCGCCTACCCTGATGCAGGAGCCGGGCTTGGAAGACGCTGCCTTATTGATGAACAGAGCTAAACAATTACTGTATATAAGTGGGGACGATTATAGAATCATTGGCGTATAAGTTGTATGGTACCCTCTTGCTGGAAGTTCATCAAGAGCTGTGTGGACACCTGGTTCTTTGCGTTTCAAGTTTCAAGCAAGCTTCATGAATAGCAAGAGAAATCTGTACCGCGGATCGTGGTGTAGCCCGTGGCTGACCGATTCAACACCAACATACCCACCAATCATTTGCTACATGTTGCATGTGCTCTTTTACTATATACTGCATCTTTTTCGGCAGTCACCTTGTGGTGCAGAATTCCACATCTTGCCATGGGCATTGGTTTCCTGAAACTCTTTTTAATCGACTTGGACCCATTTGCGTCCACTTGAGCTGATGCAAGTCTTTGGTGGTCTCGGCACGCAACTGTCCGTTGGCACGCCCAAGAAACTTGCACTGCGTACTGTGTTGTTTGTGTTGGGTTCAGCAATTCCCGACCTGGCCGACTCTGGCCTGCACCACTGGTGCTGCCAGCTCAGCTGCACTTGCTGGCTCTTCTGCGGGTGTGGTTGAAAACAGGGAGGGTAGTTGGTGTGATCACTGTAGACAACTTGTACATGCTTTTTGCATGGTATTTTCTTGTCCACTGAATTCAGGGCCCTCCAAGTAATTAAGACTTGACAAAGCATCATGTCACACCCATTGTTTTTGCGGGACCCTGTTTGTGTATGATTCAGATAGAAGACAAAGCCTCAATTGCCACAATGTTGGAGTCCAACTGTAGAATCTTGAGCAAACCTTTGCTATTTCAAGGCAACCTTCTTTGCATATATATATATATACTGTAATGGACATATGGTGGGTGTTGCCCTATGATTATGACATTCCTTCTCAACTTTAGCAATCCCACTATTGCGTGGTATCCACTCCAGACCGTTGTACGCTCACCCTTCTGGCCCAAAGCGTTTTGCTCCAATACACTTGCCCTCTGTCAAGCAGAATCAGGATTGCTTGAACTTGGGCATTCTGATAGATGAAGCCAACCATGACGAAAGCCAGCAGCATGAGTGAGGACACCTGAGTGTTTGACAAGTGCTCGAGGTTGCGCATTTACTGAGGAAGTTGTGCTAGTTGGAGGAAGTGCCTCTCTAAAAGGTATATACTTTGTAGGTCCTGTGAGAAGATACCAGACTTTCAATGCCATGATAATTGCGATGACAAGAAACATCATTAGCTGAAGAAAGTCATTAATTTGCCAGGCCACCTAAGTAGAAAACATTTTTTGGACGTGCCGTTTCGGGTTCCAGTTAAGTTGCCACCTAGAAGGACACTGCACCATTGGAAGATACCTCTCGAGTGCCACTAATAAGCTGATTCGCACCACCATATTTGGCGTCAATTAGGAGAACAACACTGCCGGGTTTCTGTAGCCAATGGCCTGGAAGGATTGATTCAAAGAGCTTGTTTGGGGGGTTTAGTGAGTCTAGTGCTCATGTCCTGTATCGGGAGAATAATTGCAGTTATATACTGTATATAATGCACGCACACATAGATATAGATATAGATATATATATATATATACATCAACGTCCCATCACGACCCAGGAGCCAGTGCAGGCCAGGGATGTAGGTGGCATCCAAAGTGGATCCTGTACACCTTGCATTTTCTGGGTCTCAGCTCGTGGTTGCGCCAGGGCGAACTGTGACTGGGTGGGCGTTCCAAAGTTTGGCATATGCAAGATAAGACGAACACTTGTTTATGTTGTATGCTTTTCCACTTGCTCAAGAGCTCAACTTAGATTTTAAGATTGCACAGAAATGGTGACAAGAGCGGTTTTTTCCTAAGAGGAAAAGAGTTCCTTAACCCCCCGCTTGGTCAGTTCCCCTGCTCCCCGCTGGAAACTCAACTTAGCTCATTAGGGTAACACTCATGTGTTCATAGGCTTAACTGCTTAGCTTACCGTCTTACTGTTAGTTATTGAAATATTATTGAGCCTCATCTCATCTCCCTCCTCCCCCTCCCTGACCTTTCCAGTAGACCGGAGGGGCATGCTGAAGGTCGGCACCCCACCCTTCACAAAACATGGACATTTGTAGCAGCCCACGGCGTCTTTGGGAGCGTGAGTTCCGTAGATAGCAGGGCACTCGGGCACCACATTTCAGACTCTATGGGAGAATTTCAGCAGCAGGATACATGAAGGATCAATTGAAAAAGAATATATAGTTATTTTCACTAGCATGCACGGCCATGCCCTGGCCGCAAAGCACAGCACCTAGCAATTTGGCTAATGCATACTGCTCTGCAATGTATCAGCGGCTCATACAGTAGTGGCTGACCTGGGAAATGCTATGGTATCGCTAGTGCGGGAGGGGCATACTACCTTCTCTTTCTCACTCTGTCCCTTCCTTTCAACTCTTGACGTGAGCTGCTTTAATTTCAGTGCATTTCATGCCAGTCCTGGAGCACAGCAAGATCCGACGTCACCTCGCATTGTCATCCTCAATGAACCTCAAAAAGTTCTGCTGTACCTCATCTTGCCGAAACTGCTTTGTCCCATTCCGTCGATTCGGCCTACGCCGTGAGACTGAGAGTTCAACAAGCTTCGCTCTGCGTCTCTTTCAGCGTAGTGACCGAGGTGATTTTGCCCATCTTCGACATCATCCGAAGCCGGAAGACTATGTGCGCCCAAGGAGGGCCAAGCGCGATGCAATGAAGCAGACAATTTTTGAGCACTTCCTAGTGCCAGATGAAGATGACAGGCGCAGATGCATGAAGCGTTCTGATAGAGTTTTCATGAGCTGTTATTCTTTCTCAAATGTTGGCATCCTTTTGCTATTATATATCCTAATATACCTTGTTGCACCCATGCAGACTATGGACCGGTCTTTGCCCACGTCCATGGCGGCAGGCACAGGCTCTTGCAGGAGGAGGCGGCAAAACATCCTTTCGCCCGCAATTTCGTCAAAGGGCTCTTGGACAACCTTGCCTTCAATGTCCGAACAGTGGGTCAAGATGTTGTTGTGTCCCTGTAGGTTGTGCGTGTCCAACCACTTGGAGGGGACAGCATATTCTCTCCAGTCAACACGCCCGGCCTAGAGGGTGAAGTTCTTGCACCTGCGCCAGCCTAGTGCATGATTTTCCTTGGATCCCGATACTAAGAGCGGTGTTTGCATTCCGCCATGTTGTACAGGATTTGTATAACCATCTTTGTACTTGTCAGCAGCCGTATTGGGCAAAATTATTGGGCACAACGTCACAGATGGGACGAGGACTGCTGTGACATATCGTGACAAGTCCAGAGTTTTTTTTTCTCCATCTTTGGTTGAAGCCAGTACAGGGGGAGGGAACGCGCGTGTACTGTGCATGGACACTCGGAGTGAGCATTCGCGCACTTGCATTTCTTGGAGCCCTTCGCTATACTCTCGCGGCATCGCGGCATCGATCGTGAATGCTCGATCCAGGAGCCAGGCTGGAAGACGCAGCCGGTGATGAAGAGAGCCAAAGCCTCGGAGGCAGAAAGGACTGTGCCGATTACCCACATAAACCACCAAGCATTGTCAAATACCCTTTAAGGGGCAGCAGAAAGATGATGCTTCACCAACAGCCAACAACAAGTTTAGTTGTAGTGGGTGGCACGGTGATTTACTCAAATCAGCCTTTCTGCCCGGACTTCACCGAGCTTTGTGGACACCTGGTCCTCCAAATCCCAAACGAATCAAGATCCTGTGGTGTGTCGTGACCTGTCCAAATGGCAGGGTTTTGTTGCGCAGTGCAAGCAACTGGCTGATGCATTCAACACCGCCACCGCTAAACACAAGCAACACCACGATACACCGATATTGTTGTTGTTTTTTGTGAATAGGGCTTTGCCTTGGGGGGTGGTGTTGAGCATCTCCTTTTGGGTCCGTTTATGTGTTATATATCCTCTTTGCACCAAGACAAGACTGATCACTTTGCATTCACTTTGCCTGACGCAAGACTTGGGTGGTCTCGGCAGGAAACTGACTGTTGGCACGCCCATGAAGCTTGTGTTAATTTGCTGCTTTCCGGGTTTCAGAGGAGCACTCTCCCGACCCTTGTGTTGTTCAGTGACTGTGCTGCTCAGCGGGCTAGTGGCAAAGTCGTCAAAAATGGCGCACGCTTCAGAGACTCCAGTGAAAAATGTGTGCCAGCTGAAATCCGTCCCACCTGCGGAGTAAGACTGTGGACCGTCTTCACCATGTTGCACCTCAAAGCATCATAGCGTGATGAGACCAACCCTCACTTCACCCACTCAGGATTGACTCTGTTTGTTAAGACCTGGGATCTCGCAGCTTCCTCTGTCCGCAAATGCAGTTCTTCCCGCAGCATCGATCAGCTTCACCTTCATCACGTCAGCACATTTGTTTACTGTGCTATTTTTTTGTCTCCTCTCCTCTCATGTTCACCTAGTCTCTCGTGCCACCATCTCATTTTCTTCTATCCATCTCATCACATTTTGTCCTCTTTTTCTTATCCTTCCTTCATATCCTCCCCACAACTTACCTGTCATGCCGTCAGCCGCTTGTTCCATCTTGTTCCCCAGCCATCGGGTCCAAGGTGGCCTGGATTCAGCGGGTGAAGAGTACTGAAACAGTACTCCAAAAAAGGGGTCGCCTCACGCATGGGGGAATCATGCCGATGCGATCCTTCAAGACGAGTTGCTTGGATCTACAGTAGCTGCTAGCTCACCCAAACCTATAGTAGCATATATATATAGTCCAATCGTCAGGACATGTCAGGACCCATGTTCTCAATCCTCGTTGACGGAATGCCAAGCATGTCACCTTCATTTCAACGGCCAGTCAGCTGTGATTTGGCCCAAGAACTGCAGAGTGAAAATCTGGGCCGAGGATGGAGTGGCAGCGCATGACATGATCCAGCAGCCTTGAAGATATTTTGCATTTACAGGCCATGACCACGTGTGGGTAGTTCTGACATAGCTTGCAGTGTTGCCAGCCGACCCACCCTTTCTCTACATAAACATAGCACCCCCTTGTCTGAATTGGGAAGGCTAAGAGCGAAGACAATGGCTACAGTACTACTCTTGATTCGATGTTGCCACCATCGCCTCGCCTGAAACCTCATGTGCCAGCTTCCAGTAGTCCTTCAATTCGTCGTGGGAGCTCAACGATGCGCTTGGAACGTTCCAGAAGTCCAAAAAGTATCCAAGTCAAAGTGACTTGGCATGGTTAAATGCCGCCTTGCAAACAGTTCCATGTGCAACGACAAAGCAAAGGAAGTTTCCTCATGAAAACGGTCAAACACATATATTCTTTTTTTCGAACCCGTCGGTTGTTCTTCGATGTTTTGTTGTTATTAATGTTTATACTTCATGGTAGAGACAAAGTCATAAAATGTGTGTGGACTGGGCTGCAGTTCTTGTTTGTATCTCGTCGTCCTCGTCGTCGTCACTGCTGCAGTTCTTTTTCCATTTGTGAACCTAGGTCAGATGTTACTCATTGAGCGGCGAACTCCTGACAGAAGTTGGCTTGGCATTTCCACCTAGCCTTGTTGGATTGAGATCACTTGTCCGCGAAGCAGTGGCCTTCCATCTGCTCAGTGTTTTTTTTCTTGGCTCCAGATCCACTGACTTGTTTCAGTTTGGACGTTCGTCTAAGTGCTGTAGCAGGAGGAGTTGGAGTAGGAGTAGTAGGCGGTCGTCGTCGTCGGTGGTAGTAGTAGAGTGGTAGTGGTGGTGGTGGTGTTGGTAGTAGTAGTCGTCGTAGTCGTAGTTGTAGCATGCAGTAGCAGTGGCAGGAGCAGTAGCAGCAGTAGGAGTAGGAGTAGGAGGAGTAGGAGGAGCAGGAGTAGGAGGAGTAGGTCGGAGTAGGAGTAGGAGTCTTAGGAGTAGGAGTAGGAGTTGTAGTAGTAGTAGTAGTAGTAGTAGTAGTAGTCGTAGTAGTAGGAGCAGTAGGAGCAGTAGGAGAAGTAGGAGGAGTAGGAGGAGTAGGAGGAGGAGTAGGAGTAGCAGGAGTAGGAGGAGTAGGTAGGAGTAGGAGTAGGAGTAGGAGTCTTAGGAGTAGGAGTAGTAGTAGTAGTCGTCGTCGTCGTCGTGGTGGTGGTGGTGGTGGTGGTGCTGGTAGTGGTAAGAATAGTGGGAGGAAGAGTAGTAGTAGTACTAGTACACTAGAAGTCGTCGTCGTTGTCGGAGCATTAGATTCACAGCATGCTTGATAGACACTCTAACCCAAAATGGTTTGCCAGGCCAGCATTGAAGCAGACCGCAGCTTGCGCTTTTTTGCAGTTGGTGGAGCTGAGCTTCAGGATTGTGACGATATTCCTTGTGAGGTAACCGTTGTTATCTCAGCCCGGGATTGGGCGATCACAGGCTGTGCAGATGGGTCCGTTGCCATGTGGGATGCAAATACTGGTGAATGGTGCAAATCTCTTTTTGGCCACCATTTGTCGGTAATATCTGTGGCTCTATCTCCTGACGGTTCTTCAATTGCAACGGCATCTTCTGACCATACTGTGAGGTTGTGGAGCACGCAGCGGCAAGCATGGCGTCTAACGCTAAGAGGACACCGAGGTTGCGTCCACTGCGTTAGCTTCTCAGGGGATAGTAGTCGCTTGGTGTCCGCCTCCAGTGACAGAACTGCCCGGGTTTGGAGTGCTGGTAGTTTTGGTGAATGCCTTTCCGTATTGCGAGGGCATCGCAGGGATGTGTCTTGGGCTGCTTTCTCTCCAGATGATGCCGAAATTATCACTGGTTCAGACGACAGGAATGTCATTCTGTGGGATTCAAGAACTTTCTCCAGATCATGCACCATTGGCAGTCATCCTCACCGGATCAACTGCGTCATGTTCTCTTCCAATGGCATGCGTATTGCCATCGCATTCCGCACCCGAGAAGTTTCGGTGTGGGCGATTTCAAGACCAGGTCTTACTGCAGACTCTTGGTCCGCTGTTGCCAATGTTTCCTTTGAGCTTGAAGCTTTGGGATCTTTTGTTGAGCTTCATGGTTGAAAGATGATAAGCAAATAATGTTACCTTATGCTATCGTAATTTGGAGCAATAGGACTTCAGCCAAGCATTCAATGCCGTCACTGGAGGAGCTGCAGACACGCTTGATGCACGAGGCAGATGCGTTCGCGTTGTGCTTTCATCCGGCGCGGCAAGAACTGGCGGTCGCACTGGCCAACGGGATGGTGATCCTTTGGGATTTAGTCGAAGGCAGGCAAACCACGCACGGGAAGTTTGACCCTGTGTTGTTCGCAGCTTCGCTTTTGCTATGCGATTTTCCCAAACCACCGAATACGTTGCACAATTGAGAGGCGCGGCGAATCACTTCTAGTGCATGTATATACGTACGACCCCAGCCTGTGCTCCGACAGACAGTCTAGTGGCCCTCACCAGCTGAATTCACAGCAATTCATAATCCACTTCGGGAATCGAGTCGTCGTGAGGTCCGATTATCCATGTGTGGCGATATAATCACCCAAACCAAAAGCGTTGGTTCGAAAGTATGGCCTTTGTGGTGCTTCACCAGTAGAGATGCAAACCCAGACTCATGCACCGGTCCCAGTGGGCACGCCAGCACTTGCGCACACCCCTTTAAAAAACACAAGCCACAAGCCTTGAATAGCTACCTTGCACTTTTCAAGAACGCGGGACGCGGGAAGGGCCGGCTGCACCTTGCAATGTCCGTGTCCGCAATGGTAGCAAGAAAAGTCATGGAGGGGAGACCTTGGAGAGACTTGAGAGAGATATGGAGAGTTTGTGTCGACAGATGTGGAATCTCGGTTGAGGCCAGCAACGAGCTTCCTTGCAGGGCCACAGCGGCAAAGTTTTCAGCATCAGTTTCTCAGCGGATGGCACACGCTTGGCCTCTGCATCTGGTGATGCGACTGCCAAAGTTTGGAGCTGTAAGACCTATAGAGCCATGGCAGCATTGCGAGGCGAAACTCATGAGCTGGACCTTTATAAGTGCAGAGGGCATCCAGAATACATGTGGTATATTATGGTATACCAAAAGTTACAAAAGCCAGCCGATAGGCTAGGCATGGCTGGGCTGAAGATGCTGAAGTTAGTTTATGCGAACAAAGCCATTAAATAAGTATATATATATATAGATATAAACATGCCACTCACATGTTTGACCATGACTGCAGCTCATCAGGGTCAAATGAGCTGCATTTGTCGGCTGGTGCGATTTTGTTTGTCGCTTTTTCGACCAGCGCGACAGCAGCTGCTTGAGCCTAGGGTAGAGAGCCCACGCGTCATCGAATTGTGGTCATCTGATTCTGAGGAAGAGCCGCTGGACAGTGACCTGGAAACTGAACTGGGACCACCACCAATTGATCCACACGTTTGGGTGCTGCCGGTTGCAAGGGGATCCTACTTTGGAAGAGAGGGCTTGTTGCCACCCACAGACGGCAGGAGATCAGGTGGTACGCCATTTGGCACATTCCGGGAATCCAAAGGTGGCGCATTGCTGGTGTCCACTGGGGTGTGGAGAACCTGGCCTACAGTGCCATCCTCCATTTGCACCGAGGCGAGTTCAGAAGAATCAGATTTAGGAGATTTGACACTAGGGCCGAAGCCTCAGCAGCTTTTGCTACAGAGGCCCGCGACTGGGACCTCTCGCCAACTAGGCGAGCGCATTTTCGGTTGGACCTTCACCCATGACCTTGAAGCCCGGGAGTAAAGGAGTCCTTCAACTTGGACAAGGTTTTGATGAGCCTAGATGGCGCGAAGCTCTTGTGGTTGGGATTCAAAAACCATGGCTGCAAGCTCTGGTAAGGTGTTCAAAGAAGGAGTTGGAGCTCACTGCACTGTCAAGCGTGGAAAAGGAAGATCAGCCATTTTGCCTGGTCGAAGCAATGCCTCATCAGTTGCTGAGCGGTGTGAACGAAGAAGTGATGCCCCTAGGAGCATCAGCTCAAGACCTGCTCAGACTAGGTCTTCAAGCTCTGATGACTTCAGACGAGGATCTGAACTATGCAACAGCATCCGACCCAGCAGAACGTCGGGCTGCAGCTCGCAGCAAAGCAAAAGCAGCAGATTCGGAGTCAGAGGAAAGCTCGGGCGAGGAGCTCGAGGATCTGACAACTCAGCTCAAAAAGAGCTGGCTAGGATCTGGTACTGCAGACGAAAAAGCTCGAAAGCTTCAGGACAGAGCCTCTTCCTCGAAGCATCGGTCAAGGCGCTTTGCCCTGATCGAAAAGAAGAAGGCATCGAAGTCAGGCGGGACTCCAAGCCGCCAAGGACAAGATGCTATGATTCAAGCTGCGATGCAAACTGGAGACCCGCTCCAAGGTCTCTTGGCCCTTCAGCTTGCGCAATCTCTCAAAAGAGAACGCAAGAGCAAGAAGGACAGAAGCAGTTCCAGGAGCCGAGATGGGGACAGCTCTTCAGACAGCAGCAGCGGCAAGTCAGACGACCGTGCTGCCAAAGGACACTCCAAAGCGGTGTACAACTACCGGAAGTCTGGCAAAAATATGTTCCGCCATCCTGTGAAGTACGTCCGGAGGTTTGCCAAGTCGGTCGAAGAGGAGCTGGGTGCCCAAGACAAACCGTTTCGGTTGACAGACTACACCAGAAGAATCCACTTTGGGCGCGAGAAGAATCTCCAAAGAGTCCACTACCTTCTGGCAACAATACTAGAGTATCTTCTGAGGGAAGAGCCCGAACGGGCAGCGTTGCAAACGGTTCTGACACTGCAAGCGGTGCACCAGGCGTCGCTCGACAACGGCGAGTGGGAAGTTGCGTGGCTCCTCACGCACGTCGAAGATCCTTTCAAGCGAAAGCTTTTCGGAGGAGATCCCGACAATCTGCAACACGTGACATCCTACCTTCGCAGCATGAACGAGTTAGCAAAGACCACAGACAGCCTCAGAAGGAAAGGCAGTGGGAAAGGCGAAAGCGACGCAGAAGAGAACAAAGAAGGGAAAGGCCGCAAGAAAGGCAAGGGGAAAGACAGGGACAGAGACAAGAACCAGACCGAGTCTTGAGCTCCCGTAGCAGACCCGCAGATGAGTCAGAGGCCGCAACAGACGGTCGCAGCACTATGCCAGCCATAGACGATTTCGAAAGTAGCTGGGGCTCTTTTGGTCGTTTTTGGAAACTTTTGAAGTCCTCCGATTTAAACCGGAGGTTGGGGCCAGAAACACCCCCTAATCCGATCAGGGGGACAGAACTCTTTCCGTCTCTATTAGTTCTGCCAGCATGCATTGGTAAGTCTAAGAGCGCTCGTAGGAGGGCGAGGAGACGAGGCCGGGATGAGACATGGCGCTATGTAGAAATGATTTGGGCTTATTTCACATTCCTTGATGGAGGTAGCCCGTGTTCGTCCATAGCACAGCAACGTCTCCTGTCCAGGGCAGCCTGCAACACTTGGACGTCATTGCACTCGACATATGCCGGCTCATTGCACGATGGAATTAATAGGTTTGTCCGCCTTCAGTAGATCAGTCTTCTTTAAGCCGCGGCATTCTCAAATTAAGCGAATTAGTAAAGACAGTCCGGAATTCAGACTACACCAGCAACACGGCCTTAGATAAGCTTTCAAGGGTAGCCAAGAACGTGAAGCCGGAAAGGATGTCCCTTCCTGAAACAGCTGGCATCATTGAACCACGTCGGTTCTTGAAAGGTCAGCGCCTCGAAGCCTTCAATAGCATGGCCACGACAGTTCCTCTGGACACCGAGCCTGTGTTCCCGACCCTTGGATGTTTCAAGGTCGAACCACATGACATGGAAGCTGTTAACCAAAAACTGTTAGGCAGCGGGGTGGCGACTTTAATTCCAGAGGAGTTAGGATTGAAAGACAGCGCAGGCCGGACCATCACCGGGGGGCTTTTCGCGGTTGACCATAAAGCCACCAGCGATAGGATTATCCTTGATAGGAGACCATTCAATGAACTTGAAAGAAGACTCGTGTGGGCCAAGCTTCCACATGGCTCGCTACTGACTCAACTTATAATGTCAACCTCTGATTAATCACTAGGCCCCCCCCCCCCTGAAAGACCTCAAATAGATAAAAAGATTGTTTTCAACTGTTTAGTATTGGTAGAGATTTTTCCTTTTGTATAAGAATCTATAAAGGAAAGGAATAGAAGAAAGGAATCCATTGAGGACCCATTGATTCAGCAGGAATCCTCACCAGGATCAGCCAGCAGAGATCAGAGGACCATCAGTTTGCAGGACCATCAGAAGGGCATCAGTTTGCTGCCTGCGCTGCTGCTATTGCTGGCTGGGTGGTGGTGGGTGTGGTGGTGTAAGGTTCCCTGCCACCATTCCCTCCAGCCCCTGGCCATGCCTTGCAGGATCAGACCTGGATCAAGTTCTCCATCCATCCAAGAAGGGCAAGAAGGCTGGTAACTTTTTTTCATATAGGAAAGGGTCCATTGGGTATGAAAATGATAAGCAATAGATTGAACCTTTTGGAGTATAATTAGGTCTCATGAGGGCCCATTAGCTGGCAGAGCCAAGCAGTCATTCAGCAGCCATGCAGGTGGGTGAAGCAAAGAAGGATGAGAAGAAGGGTGGCAATGAAGATGCCCCTCAGGCTTTGGCATGGGCATAAAAGAAAGGGAGCATTGGGTTTGAATTTGGTAAACAATGGATTGAGCCTTTTGAAGCATGGATCATGAGGGGCCATTAGCTTGGAGAACCACACATTGATTCAGCAACTATGCAGGTGGATGAAGGGAAGAAGGATGAGAAGGAGGGTGGCAATGCAGCTACCCATCAGGCTTGCATTTTTCCATGGGCTTTGGGATGGGCATATAGGAAGGGAGCCATTGGGTATGAGATTGAAAAGAACCAAAAGGAGTCTTTGAAGCATGGATCTCATGAGGGGCCATTAGCTTGGAGAACCACGCATTGATTCAGCAACCATGCAGGTGGATGAAGGAAAGAAGGATGAGAAGGAGGGTGGCAATGCAGCTCCCCATCAGGCTTGCATTTTTCCATGGGCTTTGGGGTGGGCATACAGGACAGGGGCCATTGGGTATGAGTTTCATAAAGCACCAGGATGGGTCTTTGAAGCATTGATTTCATGAGGGGCCATTAGCTTGGAGAACCTTGATTCACCAAACATGCAGGTGGATGAAGGAAAGAAAGCTGAGGAGGGTGGCAATGCAGCTCACCATCAGGCTGGCTGGCATCTTGTTTCCATGAGCTTCAACATGAACATAATGGGGGTAGAGAACACCATTGGGAAACCATTGAGTCCTTGAAGTGTCAATCACATAAGAACCCAGTAGGGCCACATAGACAGGACAGCCCATCATTCACTCAGCAGCCATGCAGGTGGATGAAGCAAAGACAAAGGAGGAGCATGAGAGTAGTGCCTGGATTGAGGTTTGCAGTATCACCCTGAGTTTCACATTGAGATTTCAATTGAGAGTTGAAAATGGAGGGGTGATAGAAGGGAGCCTTTGCATGAAGAGGCCATGAGGTATGAAGAGGCATAGAGTTTGGTTAGTCACGAGGGAGTGCGCATTTGATTGGAGCATCCAGCATTGTAAGAACAATCAGGGGTGGGAAGCACTCATTAGTTTCATAAGGGAAAGGGGGCATCAAACAAGGAATTGCAGCATTACCATGGAGCTCTGATGCAGCAGCTTTCAATCAGTGACCAAAGAGCGCATTTGCATAAGCTTGCCATCAGCCATCAGCACCTTGTTTGGGAATTGAATTGGTTGAGCTTTTTGATACATAATTATATAGTTTGTTGTTTTGCTTTGAAGCCTTTTTTGGATTTGATTAGCTGTATTGAGAAGAATTCATCCCCACCAAGGTATCATGGCCATGAAGATCCAGAACATCAAGCACATCTTGGTGGTCATCCTGGCCATTGGAGCCAGCTGGAAGATGGGAATCTTAGATGAACATGAACCTTATGTTATCTTTTCTTTTGTAGTTTCTAGATTGG